ATCAGCAGGGAAAATGGCCACGGATCCTGTTCATCACCTTATGCGGAGTTCGCGAACGGAAACAAAATTTTGCGAACGGTGCTGTTCATGACCCGAATTGGTCGTGAACAGAAGCATTCGTGACCCGAGGTACCACTGTATTTGTGAGATTTCATCCACTGGGGAGGAGGTTCTTGCTGAAAGCACTTGAGATGTGGTGAGTGCATTGCTAATCCCTCCTTTATACTATGCCTATGAAGCGATCAGAAGATTCCACTGCTGTTTTAGAACAACGGATAGCCTATCAGATCATCCAGACCCTACTCTGTTTAACATTAGTGGAAAGATATCTGTGTTTTAATGTTATTACTTAGGGAATGGCTCACTGATTAAAATCAAATGTCTTGCACTATAATTTATATAATAGTGCAAACCTACATATGTCTATTCAAAACTTAGTTTTACGGAGTCCAGGAAGACTTATTTGCAGATGGAGGAGAATATGACTGCAGTCTCAGGGACAGAGATGTATCAGCCCCTGCCAAGGATATAGTCAACACCCACACCAGCCTGCCAGCCCCCTGCCCCCCTCAAACTTCACTTTCCCACTACTTGAATTCTTGGGTGTCAGTTTGACTATAACACCAGGTGGAAGAATTCCATCAGGAAAATAGCTATCTGCCATTATTTGTTCTTGAATGGGGAGATGCGCTCAAATCTGAAAACTGGATGGGGCAGAATAGGAAATCCCCCTCCTCCAGGCATTAGCTTTAAATGAATGGTTCCAGGATTACCAGACCCAAGTGTTTTTTTATTTACCAAATTTATAAGCTACTCCAATCTGTATGATTCTGGGTGGTTTACAAGACACAACAGTAATTATAAAAATGCGGAACACACAATCCACAAGAAAAGTCCAGAGAAACAAACCCATCAATTAAACAACTGAAACATCCCACAAGACTTCTATCACATATTCTAACCCAGGGCCTGGAGATAGAACCAGGTTTTTAAAGGCTCACTAAAACAGTGCCAGGGTGGGGGCCACACAAAACTTGAGTGGGATGGAGTAGGTGGTGATACATTACAAACCCAACACTGCAGTAATCAAGAAAATATTTTTATTTCAATAAAAGTAAAAAAGATAGAAATCTGACAGAATAGTTTAAGTGCAACAAATTACACAAGGCTGAGATCTACATTCCAGAACTAGTATTCAGTAATCTGTAAATAGTCTAATCAAACAAAAATAGAGGATTGAAGCAGATACAAAATCAGAGAAATTGACCAAATTACACTGAACAGAAATAAAAACAAACCCTCACATGACTAAACTTTGCCTGCCGACTTTACACTACTAGTTTGGACTCTCCCAGAGTTTTGTAAGTTTAGGCCCAAATCTGGAAACCCAGTTGCATAAAACCTCTTTTCTTCAGGTATCTGTTTCTCTGAGAACAAAATAAACTCTTAACTTCCTCTGCCCTTGAATCTCACCCTCTCCTTCATTCTCACCGATAAAGATAGTGACAGAGAATACTGAAAGATCTCCCAGCTAGCTGGCAGAGCACTCAAAATTAAGAGCCTCCAGTTATGAACTGTTTACAGGCCACTCAAAACTGTTAAATCCCACTAATACTCTCCAAGTAGTCTAAAATTTTGTATTGGAAAACTTGAGTACTGTACACTGGATCCTATGTTCAAGATCCAACCACAAGAATCACGTTCCAACCAGTCGCTGCTTGTTGGAGATGAATACCTACTGAACCAAATTCCCTACTCTAAAGCAGGAGTTCCTAAACTTTTTGCCATCACACCTCCCTTTGTGTAATCTTAATGTATATACCTCCCTAAAAAACCAAACACTAGAATGAACAAAAATGAACAATGAAAACAATACAACGAAATGTACAACTAAAAGGTTCTTCACACCTCCCTTGGACTCTGTCTGCACCTCCCCAAGGGAGGTACACTTCACAGTTTGGGAAACCCTGCTTTAAGGGATGATTTGAAAATATGTGCAAATCTTCTTCTGAGATGTTAGACATCAAATATGCAGTACAATCAGTTTAAATTCATAAATTCTGATGCTGTTAGACTATTGGAAGTTAGAAATGTTCAATGATCTACTTAAAATCACCAAAGATCTATTAGTAGATCCTGATCTCCTTTCTACTTGCCTCTTTTGAAACATCTGTAACAATTCAACATAGACCAAAAAATTTAGCACCAAAACAAAAAGAGGCTACAGTAATAGCAGAGTTTCATCAGAAGGAAGTCACTGTTCAACTGATTTTCTTTTGGGTAAATAAATATAGGCTAAGTAAGGAGAACATGGCTTATAACGTACCAGAGGTGGGTCTTGTTTCTGAACTGTAAGATGTTGTACGGTTATATGAAGTGCCAAATGAACCAGCCAATGGAGCAGTTGGACCAGCCCATGTGCTGTAGGAAGGAGAATACCTGTGATGTGAAGATGACCTGGAAGAAAATGATTTAAACTATTTTGTTGGTCATTTTAGTGTTTTTGCATGTGTACAACATTTAAAATGTTAACAGTTGGATAATCTAGAAAGGAAGTAGAAGACCATTTAAGGCAAAGTTGCTCATTAGCAATGAGCAAATAATTGTACAACACATATATAAACAATCTGCATATATTAATTATTCCAACAAAATGAGGATATCTCTTCAGCAATTTTATAGTTCTATTTCTATTTCAAAAGGAATATTTCCAAGAAAATATATATTTACCATTAAGGTATGCATTGCTGTTAGGAACTATAACAAGATTTCAAATTTAGGAAAAAAAATGAATGTATTTAGAGCTACATTCAAACTTCATACAAATTCAGTACAAAAGTCATATAAACAGCATAATATATGCAAGAAGCTTAAAAACTGATTTAAAAAAGCTAACTCAAAATAAAGCTCTCTAAAAATATAGTAAGAATCCAATAATTCTGGAAGAACATAACACAAGAATTCTCAGGTGAAAAACTGGGGTGATTTAGAAATGGAATACCTTGAAAGTAAGTAATAAAAGCAAAATTCAATGTGGAAAAGAAATAGCCAAGAGGAAAAACATGATCATATTTGTATACAGAAATTTGAGACAGCAAAACTACAATACAGAGAAGTGAAGATCTGTTTAACAGCATGAAAATAACCAAATTGAGCCTTAAATTCGTATATTTATTAAAATACTGACACTCTTTTCCATTACAACCACTGTCATTAAAACAAAGATAAAGACAAAACAAACAAACATTTAGAAAAACCTTTAATTTGAAAAACAGGTACTATTGAAGCAGTCACCTTAAAACTGGTACCCGTTTATACCTTTATTCTCTGGAAACTGCAGCTTGTATTTTTAACACTGTTGCAGGAGTTTCTTCACTAATGATGCAATATTAAGCAACTACATGGCATAACTGAAAGAGTATTGTATGAGTCAATGACAGCCATTTTCTGTATTTTACAAAGATCAATCCATTTACAGATGGTGGGTTTTGAATTCTGTGTACTGTGAGAGACAACCTACTTCTTCAGTATTTCTTAGCTGTTCTAGAAAAACCCTTAGAGATACCCACCAATTGGACAACTATTAAAAAACTTTAAGCATGGGCAAAAATGTTCTTATCCTAACTAAGGGTGGTATAGACAGCTAAGCCATCAGCCCACCTTTGTATCTGGGTCTACCAGATACAAAGGTGGGCTGATGGCTTTGCTGACTGCATAAGGAAAAGTGGGGTAACTATTTCTCAAAACATTCATAATGTATTCATATTTTAAAAATCAACATGTAACCAAAAAATCCCATGTTTACAACTTATAGTATTACTAGTAGCAAACAAAAATTATTTTCCCTTAGGAGAATCAATTCCCATTTCTGTCAATCAGGATTGTTGCAAGAGAAAACAAGATTACCTTTGGTTGCCAAGCCAGTATCCAAGAAGTCCTCCGGCACCTAATCCAGTCCAGAAACCTGGCCCTGAATTAGAATCATGGTTGGACCTACCAGCAGCTCCTTAATTTAAATAAAATTATATAGATTTATATTGCAATCAAAGCTCTTTTATAATTTTTAAAAATTATGAGCCAGTTTGGTGTAGTGGTTAATTAAGATGCTGGCCTAGAAACCAGGAGACTGTGAGTTCTAGTCCCAGCTCAGGCATGAAAGCCAGCTGGGTGACTTTGGGCCAGTCACTCTCTCTCAGCCCAACCCACCTC